CACAATTCTGTGGGTGTAAGGTCCGTCGGAGGTCTTGGGCATGAAAAGATGTAAATCGTATTGTATGGTACTTGATTGCAGTGAAGACAGAAATCATAAGTGCATCCTAAGGATATGGCACCAACTTGACCGTTTCGGTGCTTTTGGCGGAGTTTTATAGGATTAGGAAGTTTTCCTCAGTTGACCACACGGTATGTTCTCCCAAGCTTGATGGTAATTGTGATTTGGCTGGTTTCACTTCGCTGGGTAATGGTTTGAGGCCTGTCATGTCTGTTCCTGCGTCTAGGGCACTTGAGTACGTACTTCATCATTTCCGCCTGGTGTTAATTTGATGTCTTTGCATTCATCAGCTTCTCTTAAGTGTAGTTGTGGGGTGCCTGGTGTGCGTCGGCTGCTTAGTCTCGGTTACTGCTGAAGCGGAAATGGTCCGAGGGTTCTCGTGTTAAGTTAGCGGGTTTTAGTAATCAGGATTCGGAGGTGTGGGCTAGCGCAGAAAACTTATTGGGGGCTCGCTGCCGTACGGGCGGCATACCATTTAGATGCCGTGTTGTGAAGTTAGTTTGATGTTGATTGATTTACAGTTCTTGAGGAGTTCTTGAGGTTCATAGGGTTGTCACTGATATAGCGCTTGTCTATCAGCTTGTTTCGGGAGGCATGTTTGCTATCATTCTACTGATTATGGTAGAAATGAGCCGGTCACTAGTACATTGTGTTATTATAATTCTAATTTTTAGATAGATTTTATTTTTCGTCTTCTTTCTAATTTTTTTTTTCTTATCGCTTTTCTATGTATTGTTCTTACTTTTTCGTTAGTCTATGTTTTTTTTTGTTTTTACTACTTTTATTTGTGTTCGTCATTTTATGTTACTTATTTCTTTTCCTCCTCTATTAACCTACATATTCCTCTCCTTTTTTCTCCCTTTCCTAAAAATGATGACGCTGTTGTTTGGTAACTGATAGTTTCTTAGTTGCGATTAAATGATATTTTTATTTGTGCCTTTTGCTGATGTACTTAATGCTTGATCTATGCAATGAGTATGTAAATTAATAACAGCTGATAATTCCAGCAATTCATCAACAAAAATCGAAAATAGAAACAATTTTTTTGATTTTTTGCACTTTATTAGGTCTTACAATAAGGAATTTTAAACTTATTAGATTTTAGAAATTTCGATATAGAAAAGAGTTTTTTGCTATATTTTCTGCAATGAATTTGAAATACTAAAGGAACATCTTGAAAAAACACTGAATTCAAATTTTTTCTAGTTGCCTCTTTCTTTTTTTTTAAGAAAATAATGAAACTTTGAAAAAAAAAGAATTGATATATAAAATATAAAATGAAATATAAAATAAAATAATAAAATATATTTGAGAACAATAAAATAATTTATAAAATAATACATATATAAAAATAAAATTTAAAAGTAATATATATAAAACTTATTAAACAAAAAAGAAAGCGAAAGAATAAAAACAAACTAATTATTATAAAAATAAAGTTGGGTCAAACCAATGGTTTGTATTGTAGCACTTTTCCCTTCAACAAGTGAAAATACTGCTTTTAAAAACAGTCTATGTATATCCACTACACTATTATTTATCCACTACTAAATTATTTTCATTCATGAACGAAACTATTTCTAAGATTGCATGTATTTAGGATGAACGATTTATGCAGTCTTTGAAATAAAGCAAAAATAAATTTAAAGAGGGATTCACATAATGCTCGATTTTAAGGCTTAAATTGTATGAGTTTAGAAAAATAATTATATTTCTTAATGTCATGGAGTTTACCGTTAGCTTTTTCCGTTTGTAGAAATTTGAAAAAGCTTGCGCTTTCGGAAATATAAGGTGTCAAAAATTCAAATTTTACAAATTTGAACAGGCGATAACTCGAGAGGGGGTGCAGATGGGAAAAAAAATTTTCTTCTAACAAATGAAGCATTTATTAGTGTCTAAAAGTGTCTAAACGGACTTTAGATAACGGAAAATTTGAATGGTCAGTATAACGCGCTAGGGGAAGCAAGCCACTGTCTTTCTGCGTTTACAAAATTTCAGAAATGCTTATGGTTTCACTGCACTAAATAGTTAAAAAATGGCATTTTTAGGATTTTGGAGGGTATAACTTCTAGAGGGGGGGAGATAGGTATAAATTTTGTTCTACGAAAATAGGTTTCTTGTAAAGATCTATGTACGTATTAAATTTCAGCTTTCTATCTTCAAGAGTGTAGAAGTTTTGCAGATAGACACACGCACAGACGGACGGACAGAGTGAAACTAATAAGCACTTTTTTTCAAAAAATTTTTAGAAAAGTGCTAAAAACGAACCTAATATCTAATAGTAATAAGAAAATTTTTCAAAGTCGAATTGAAGAAAGTAAAAAAAAAGAAGAATAAAACAAAACTTAAACAATAAGAAGTCTAAAATCGATGGAACCCTGCAATGAGGAACACACCGCAGCCGTAAGTACTGGGCCCTGTTCTTAAACATTTTTTTTATTATTTTTTTTGTTTTGTAATTTTTTGGTATCGTAAAGAAAGCAGAATAAAATAATAAAATATGGATTTATAGAAAAAAAAAGTTGTAATGCTAAATGATAAATACATATTGAAAAAAAAATTAATGTAATAAGTTTTTGTTTATATATGATTACATATATTTTTATTCGTATTGAAAAAAAAACAAAGAACAAAAAAAAAAGAAAGGTTAAGAAAACTATATTACTTATAGAAATAATTATTAATAACTTTAAGACAGAAATTAATTAAGACAGAAATAATTATAAAAACGAAAAGAAAAAAATGAAATGGAAACTTGAATTTTTATTAGTATTTTATTTTTATAAACTTGCTTTTTTTCTTTCGTATTTGTGTTAAAATAGAATGGTGACGGAGTTGTAGGCTCCATTACCCTTCTGGGTGTTTGAAATTTAGGGGTTTTCGAGTACATTTTGGGAGCCTCAATACCAACTGAAACTCATGGAAGGGTAGGGCTTGGGACAGTAATGACTCGTCACCTTGTCAGCATAGTGATGTACTGTGTGGTGCACCCTATTTCAATGTTTCATGTTCTGGTTCACTACATGGTGTTGCAGCTAAATTCAATTTTCAGTTTTTTTTGCAATCGCACTAGTTCTTTTATTTATTTACATCAACGTGTGCATAATTTTTTTTCTGGTTATGGTATGTAGCCATTGGTGGTGAGGCAGATGTCCAAACCAGTGGCGGATGACATGCTCTGTCAGGTCGTCTTCAAACATCATCACGTAAGTAATTCATAAGAGGCTTGTCGGCAACTAAAGAAATGAACTATTCGTTGTGGAAAGCAACAAAGAGTACTAAGAAGTCGATAAAGTAAATCCCCCCACTGGAAAAAACAAATGGATCATGGGCGAAAAGCAATGTGGATAAAACTGAACTATGCTGAGCACTTGGAAGTAATTTTTCAACCAAATGAACTGAATTCAAATATTATTTTCTTTTGTAGAAAATTTTATGGATGAAAGCACTACGGCTTTATATAATGAAAAGGAAATTTGCCAACTGATAAAGTTTCCTGAATCAAATAAGGCCTCAGATTTTAATTCCATTACTTCTGATATTAAAACAAAACTGCCATCGTTAGAGGAAAGTCAAATATGTTCGACAATATTTCTGGATGTGACCTAGACTCCAACAAAATTTGCCATGACGGTTTATTATTTAAACTTAAGAAATTGATACCTTTGCAATTCGTGGAGCTACTTGAATCATGTTTATCTGACAGGCTTTTTCGAATTAAACAGGACGACGAGCACTTTACGCTTAGGAATATTAGGGGTGGTGTGCTCTCAAGGCAGTATTCTGGGTCCTATATTATACGCGCTTTATACAAGCGATTTGCCATATTTAGAGGATGTAACTTTGGCTATATTTGTAGTCCACACAGCAATATTGGCAGTGGGATCAAGTGTTGAAGAATCGAGAAAAAAATTACAGATAGCAAATAACAACATAAGTAAATGGACAAATTCATGCATAATAAGGCTAAATGAAGGTAAATCTGTACATAGGAATTTCGCAAACAAAAATTTAGTGAACCCACCACAATTGAGTTGGAATGGTGCTAAAATATCAATCCAAAACACAGCAAAATACCTAGGTATGACTTTCTATATCAACTTCAGATGGAAAGAACATGTACAGAAGAAAAGAATAGAATTAGAAAACAATTACAGAGAAAAATATTGGCTTCTAGGTCGGGGTCTGGATTGTCAACATACAATAAGGGGTTGATATATAACCAAATGATAAAGCCTATATGGGTATATGGCTTGCCGCTATGGGGTTGTGCCAAGCAAATACTAATCAAACAAATACAAACTTTCCAGAACAAGGTCCTTCGTAATATAGTGGGTGCGCCCTTGTATGTGCAAATAGAGATCTTGGTGTCCCCAAGTAAGTGAGGAGATAAGGAACTTTGCCATGAAACATAGGGGGAAACATAGAAACATATGACGTTATCTTTCTGCGCTGGCGGGATTTGAAAAATGTTTGTTGTTTCGGTACAATGAATAGCCAAAAAATGGCATTTTTAAAATATTACCAAACTATAACTTTTATCGTTTATATAATAAGATAAAATTAGTTCATATTTTATGCCGTTAATTAATCTGAAAGATCTTCCTATTAGAGACCTTTGATAATTTTAACAATTAAAGAATACTTGTGTTTGTGTTTTTTATATTGACGTATAATTTTGATATAGTGATTCATAACCGGAATTAATTTGAAATATGTACATTTCAAGATATCGATCATAAGTTAATAAGAAATTAATTAAATAAATATATTAAAAAATATTACAAAACAAAATTCTTTTATCGCGAATAAAGAGATAAGATGTTCGTAAAAAGTGATATTTGATTACATATTTTATAATTAAAATCCCGTTTATCTTTGTAGGAAGGATTTGTTTATAAAAATTGAACTCCAACATAAATTTTTAACAGTATTTTAAAGTTCTTATACTAAGTAAAATATTTAAAATTACAAATGGAAACTAGAAAACTGCTTAATTGCATATTAATTGTTGTAAGTCTGTCTTAGTTTTGAAGTACATATATTTTAGAATATTAGCGAGTTGTTATTTAAATATCATTCTTACGTAGTTTGCTGCTGTAATTAAAACAAATCTTTGCGATGTGTGTGAAATTAAAGGATGGGGCTTTCATTGCGATGGATGCTCAAAGATGGTATATTGCATAAAACCTATCGGAGCAGATTGGATAACAGAAGAGATAGGTCAGTGTGATGAAAATAAAAATTTATATTGCAATGAATTATACAAAAACTGTTCTTCAACAAAAAATTGCAGTAGTAATGATGTAACTGAAGTAGATTTAGTGTTTAATTGCAAAAATGAAGGAATATTTCCAAACCCGTATGATTGTAAAACATATTTTATATGCTCAAAAGACTCAAAGTCTTCAAGTTTGTCTAAAGATTATATAAAGTGTCCCGATGGATATGCTTTTAATCCAATGTCAAATTTGTGCAACGAAAGGTACGACAACAATGAATTATGTAAAAGGCAATACAAATGTAACGCAGTGTATGATATAGCAGCATGGCCAACAAACAACAACATATTCTACGTTTGTAAAGAAGGGAGATTCGGAGTTTCGAACGAAAAATTTTTGTATCCAGAGCTTTACTCTTGCGAACCCGATAAAATTTTTGATAATCAATTGCAAAAATGTGCCAGTGAAGATGAAATTATTGCAACTACTACAAATCAAAATAACGAAAGTACTGCAACACCTACTCCATCACCTACTGAGTGCTTAAAAGGAGGTATTTTTGAGGATCCCAATAATTGTAGGGGTTATATTTATTGTACATTTCAATTACGAAAAATTTTAAAATTATGCCCAAATAATAGTCATTTTAATAAAACTTTAAGTGCTTGTGTTCCAGGCTCCGAATGTTGAAGTATGGAATTTCAAAATTTTAATTAATTTTACAAAGTTTTATTTGATTTTTTTTTAGAAATATTATTTTTCGATCTGCTAATTTACTGCTACACATTATAATCTTCATAAACTACTATAAAGCATTTATTTTTTATTATTGCATTGTTACTACAAATTGCAAATTCACATAAGCAATTTTAAACATAAATCTAATCCAAAGTAATGCAATAAGAGCCAGATAAACTTTACAATCTGGTGAATGACTGGTGGTGCCTATAATTGGTCACCCCAATTCCTGTAAGGTAGCCTTCTTATGGAGTTGCTCACTCTAATTGTGATATAGAAATTCTGAAAAATTGGTTCCAATCTATTTAGTTCTTCCTAATAATGACTTCAATAGTATTAAACAACGCAGGTCGTCCCAGCAACTCGTCTAATTGGAACTAAATGCGTATTCATTAGAAGATTAAAAGGCCTTGTATCCTTTGTACTTGTCAACCAACTTTTGATATTCGACTTTGTTGGTGCAATTTTGATTATAATGTATAAAGCTCTAGCAAAGCTTTTCTTGAGGAAAGAGCAGTTACCTTTGTTTTTTGCTCTTTTATATGAGGTACCGATAGACTCTTGTTTTCTTAATTTACTTCTGCTTGTTATATCTCCCATCTTGGTTCTACGAGTATACCTTGAATGACGGTCCATCCTGCTAAGGTCGACTTATTGAGATAATAAGGGCATTAATGCAACTGATCTTGCCTGAACAACAAAGAAAGCTCGTTAGTGGCTGGTTGAACCATTAACTTTTCAGTTATCGGCACCGATCATACATCACCATTAAATTAGGTCGCAATAGTTACTTGGCGCTCCAAGGAATTAACCCAATCAATCAACATTGTGTTCTAACAAGTAATGAAGCAAAATATCTACTAGAATCTACTAGAAGTGCAGATCCGGATTACAAAAAAAAAAGTTCAGAATAGAATTTGATTATGGCTATTTGCGCAAAAACAAATGAATTGATTGTCTTTCTTAGCATTTTCACCGTTAAAATTTTTAAAATTTTTAAAAAATATTGTTGTTTGTATTAAAATTAAAATAGTTCAGTTTAAAATCCTTATTTATTTTTATCTTTCTTGATTTAATTTTCCGACATTCCATACTTTCATAATTTGTCGAAATTTTGAACTTTTCTTAATTTAAATTTTCGGTTCATTTCCATATCTACATATGCATGTAATTTTGTTTAGTATAAAATTCTTTGAAATGATCAGATACTTCAACTTGCCATATTTAGGTAAACTGGTATGAGGTGAAAATTGATCCAGCATTCAAAAAATTAAGAATATATAAATGTAATCGTATATATGTAAAATATATAATGTTAAGTTATAATAAAAAATCACAAAAACTGTAATTTAACTTGCTCATAAATTCGTATAGTTGTATTCCTTTCATTACACTTGTTGTCTTTTGTTTGGCAACGAAAATATAAGTCAAACAAATTGATCTACTCAAGAAATAAAATTCTACACTAAAATTTTATACCACAAATAAAATAAACCACAAAATAATAAACCACAATAAAAGCTTTACACAAAGAAGTCACAAGGAACTTTGTAGATGTAATTGCCTTTGGAATTTATCAAATGCATAAAAATTAATGTTTTTTTCTGTTGATACCGTTGAAAAGAAAAAATATATATCCCAATGACTAAACTATTCCCAGAAATTAATTACTACTTTTGTTAATTTTTTACAAAATAATTTTTAATGACGCAGAAGTAAAAGCTACGTTTGTGTGGATGGTATAAATAATAGGGCAGGATATTTAAAATCTCTTGAAAACTCTTAATATAGAGTAGCGTCATTGCGCGTGGCATCATACATTTCAAAACTTCTTTATTATTTGGAATAATTAAATTAAACTAGACATCCAAATGGGTTTATAACAATATAAATCAAGGTGAAAAGGGAAAATAGAGGACGCTTCTACATGTATATATTATTTTGGGAATATGTACATATTTTTTTTCACAAAAGAAAAGTATAATTTTTCAATAGTTTTTTTAATTTTCATTTTTTCTTTAGATGTGTATTTTTGCAATTTTTCTCTATTCAATTTAAATGTCTTATTTGAAGTATACTCTGTGTATAATCCTCATTATTTCTTTGCCATTAAGGAAATGGAACTTAACTATACTTCGTAAAATTGGCTTCGTAATAACCCTTTTGTTAATTATGTATTTATTTATGGCTTTAGCCTTCGCTAAAATACTACAATACGACAGGGTAAACTTGGATTACTACACGCATAATGTCAGTGTATTCAGTATTTTAACGACAGAATTGATTAAAATCAAAGCACAAATAGAAATACTTATATAATTTGACTTTCTTCCTCTGCTTCTTAACTTTAATAATTTTATTATACAAAAAGTTCTTCTTTATATAATCAAGTTCTTAAAATATTATCCCTACTTAAGATTAACTAATTTACAACACAAACTGATAATTTACTACATGATTGTTAGTTTTAACAATTCCTATTAATCATAAACACATAAAATTATCAATGTCCCGTATTTTATATTATAATTACTATTTTTCATTATCATTGCGTCCTTGAATTGCCGTCAATTTACGCAAAAATAAAAATAATTTTTTTTTTATTTATTTAATACTTTATTCTCTATATCATTACAAAGTTTGCTTAAAATAAAAGAATAAGAAATATGGCATTGTTATTTTATAAAAGAAAATAATGTAAATGCCACAAATTATTAAAATATTTGTTTCTATGTATCTATAATTATTACTGTTACAAAATATAATTACATTCAAAAAAATTAAAAAATTTTAAAATTCATTCGTACTATTTAGATTTACTTCTACATACTTAAATTTATAATTTACAAAACATGATTTAGATTAAGAATTTTACTAAAATAAGGTTAAGTCAAATTAGGCTAGTTAACAAATTATCTACCTCCCTATTCTCAAAAGCCATTCTTTTACATTTTTAACAAAATTATTTAAATTTCAAGTAGCACGTATTTGTTTAGGAAGTTTATTAAACAAGCCAACAGAAGTTATATCAAAGAAGTTGCGATAATTTGTAGTTCTGAAAACTGGAACATTAACTAAGAATCTTTGATTAATACGTAAACCATAGCGATTTGAAGCTCTACTATTTAAGTAAAACCCTATAATAGTAAAGTTTTTTAACTGGTAGAAGTTTCAAGTTTCTGAATAAATTCATACTGTGAAATAAACGATGCCTGTTGGAAATTTTTCTAATTACACATTCTTGCACAATCAATAGTGGATAAATTTTATTTTTATATGTACCAACTCAACAACTTATGCCATATTGTAACTTAGAATGAGAAATACCATAATAAAACATCAATAAAGTTTTATTATTAGAATAATTTGTATATTCTGACCAATTCAACATACTATCAATAAACACACCTATATATTTGAATTGATTAACTACTTCTATAGGGAAGCATGCAGATTTACAACAGACAGAATGTTTATTTTTGTCACTAAGGATATTATCTATTTCTATTCATAAACTTACTTTTGCAAAATTAGCCTATGTCGATAGAACCAATATCTTAACAGGCTAAGATCTTTACTGATCGCACACGATAAATTGAGTGGACTATTGCAAGAATAGGAAATGGCAAGATAATCAGCAAAAGCTGTTAAATTACCCTCAAACTGCAGATCAAAAAGCGAATTAATTTATATATTTGAAACAGTATAGATCCCAAAACTGACCTCTGTGGGACCCCCAACCTAATACATTGAACACTACTAAATTTGCTACTTATTTTGATTCTAAATAGGATTTAAACCAATCAAATATAAAACCACGAAAACCTAGCGCAAATAATTTATTTAAGAGAATTTTATGATTCACCATGCAAAAACCTTAGTAACATCAACAAAAGGTCCTGCACAATTTAGTTTATTATCTAGACCTGCATTTATTTGCGAACAAAAGTTTAACAATGCATCTTCAGTTGACATACCTTTTTTAAAGCCAAACTGTTTCAAGCTAAAAAACAGTAAATCGTTTAAATATTTTAATGTTCTAATTTTCATTGCCTTTTCAAAAACTTTTGAAATTGTAGGAAGCAAGGAAATGGGTCTATAGTTGTTTGTGTCAGACTTTTAGCTTTTTTTGAACAGAGGAATCACAACTGCAGATTTTAACTGTTCTGGAAATAAGCCTGAAAGCTCACTGAAATTGAAAATGTATACCAGAGGATCGATAATTTATTTGAAATATTATTAATAGCCACAGAGTTTGAGTGTTTTAATGACCGAATAATTTGAAGAAGCTCAGGAATCGAGAAGCTATCAAAGAAGAAACTGTTTCGAACGCTATTTATTTAAATTGTACTGTATTCGTAATTAGAACCTAAATCAGAAGACAAGTTGGCAGCAACCGAAAGAAAACGATCATTAAATTCATTTGCAATCAGAATTTGTAAAAGCAATAAAAAGAAAACAGGGACAAAGATTATGAAAATACTCCTTCAAAAATACAAAAAGTAGAAATTCACACCATGTGTTTTTGTATGACAACAATTTAAATTTGAATATTTACTTGGGTCTTAGGTTAAATATTATGGTAAAAATGTATTTTCAGTTTGAATATTATGCATAAAGAATAGAAATCTTATATATAAACATCTTTGTTTTTACTATTTATCAATTTTTAACAATCATGAAATATTTTATTGCGATACATATAAATTTCTTTCCTTTATTTTCTTTTTGAATTAATCTTTTGAACAATTTTAAATTTACAATGAAATTGGCAATGTATTTGATCTGCATTATAACTGCAAATAATTTTAAGACTTATACTCTGCTTTTCAAATATTTTTTTTGTACATCCATAACTAGGATTAATATTGTCACCATATAACTTTATAAAGATATTTTCCAGATTTCTTATCTTTGATAAATCAGTTGAATTAGTTTCTTTTTAAACATTTTACCTTTGA